GATGTGTTTCCTCCAGGATAGCCACACCTTCTAAAACCTCCCAAAACAGTGCCATCATCTGGGGACAAAATGTCCAAATACTTGGAGCCTATGGGGGACATTTTCATTCAAACCATCACAGGGGGTGAAGAGTTAATCCCATTTCAGAAACTCATAATCAATTGATTCATACTTTTCTGCATTATTTTTATTTATCAAAGAGAGGAAGAAGGAAAGCTAATCATTTTCAGAGCAGAGGACCATTTCTGACCAGTGAGTTTTTGTTCATTTTTTAACTTTCTTCTTAGTACATCTTTGTATTTTCAGGCATATTTTCATGAAGAAGAGATTTGTTTTTTGTTTATTTGCCTTTTTCCTCTTTGAAGAATATGAGTTATTTAACCTTAAAATGAAAAGTTAAGGGGCTAAAGATGTAGCTCAGTTGGTAAAGTGTTTCTTAGCATGCATGAAGCCCTGGGTTCTATGCCCAGCACCACACAAACCAGGTATGATGGTCCAAGCCTGCAATCCCAGCACTTGGGTTGTGGAGAGAGGAAGATCAGAAATTCAAGGTCATTCTCAGGTACATAGTGAGGCCAGGCTGGGGTACATGAGACCTTGTCACAAATAACAGAAACGAAAATAATAGAACAGTTAACATGTTTTACTGGGCTTTAGTGTCAAACAGAGCTGGGTTCAAATCCCAAATTCACCACTTCCTGGTTGTCTGATTCCCAGTAAGTTCTTTAGAGTCTCTTAACATTTATTCTAAATGGAGATGCTTACCTCCCTGGGTCACAGTGGGGACTGAGACAATTAGGGGTGAAGTATCTAAAACAAAAGGTTCTTCTCCCCAAATGAGACTCGATGCAGCTTTCCCTCCTGTGTTGCTTTGTTCCCATATTTACATTTTCCTTGGCCTGTCTGATTTCAACAAAATACTGTGTCACTAAGACTCTGGTATTAAATTATGTTGTACTCATGTGGGTTAAATTCCCAGGGGGAGCCCAACCTTGGCCCTGACCTCCCCTAAGTTCCATCTGGAATCGCAAGGAAATATTTCACTTCCTACTTGCAAACTTCATTTAATTTAGAAGTACCCTGTTTCCAGGCCAACCTATTAGAGATAATGGCAGTATTTGTTTGGGTTTTATTTTTGCTATACTTGGCTCTAAATGAAGACCGTATCCTTCTGTTCTCAGGCTGTGACTTGCTCTTCTGTGCAGTGGTGCTATCATGATGTCCTGTGGGTCATGCATTCATTTATTCCTGAGCAATCAATCAGAAGCCCTCTTTGATGCCTTCAGTAGCAGCAGGCTTCTGAGGTCTGATGTAGCCCTAGACTACCAGCACCCAATTGCTTGTCCCCTGGACCAACCCTACTTCCTCAATTCCAGCATTAGATTCTTGACCTGATGTCACCCTTAGAACAATCTGAAAGAGTTCTAGTGACCTGCATGATTTCCCTTTTACAACAATTTCTGCCCTTTTCATTCAGTGTGTAACTATGCTTTCTAAGGAGACTGAAAAATCTCTCCTTTCTATAAGCCAGCCCTGGAGGGTGTTGCTTAGCAAAACTTTCTACCCACAGTGCATCATAATCCCCTTTGAATGATGTAAAGGGATCGAGTCCTGTAGCTCTCTGACTTAGGGGCTCCAAGACCTATACTGTCCTCCAAGGAAGAGTGCTTTTAAGATCAAGGAGGTCTCTGCTCACCACAGCCAAAGCAGGTAACAACTGCAGGGATCTTAAGGTCTGGGCCCCTTCTCATTTAGTGGCTGTATTTTGAGTAGGAGCTGACAATGTAAAACTTTATGGCTAACTTTTTATAAAGACAATCATTTTTAATTTATTTATTTTAATTAATTTTTTTTGTGGTCCTTTTTCAAAACAGGGTCTCCCTGTAGCCACAGCTGGCCTGGAACTTGCTATGTAGACCAGGCTGGCCTCGAACGCACAGAGATCCGCCTGCCTCTGCCTAACAAGTGCTGGGATTAAAGGCTTGCAGCACCATACCCAGCCTCCAAGACTAAAGTTTTAAAACCCCTTAACTAGATTATCACTTAACTTCAATGACTTGTTCCTTGATTCTTTCATATATTCATTTATTCCAATGTGTGCACCAAGCACTTCTTGGACGTGGAGTGTTTGCAAGACAATGAGATAGGAGCCTGAAGACAACAGCTACCACAATATGCCCCCACCTCTGTATCCACACCCATCACCACCCCCATTCCCATCCATCCTTACCTTTCTACTCTCCCCCTCCCAGATCTAAGGGCTTACTTTTGGAGGGAAGAAACTGTACAAATATTTTGTTGTTTTTTGAAGAAGCTCTAGAGTTTATCCAAGACCAGTGCAAAATTGCCATTTACAAATTGTTGTTTTAAAAGTCAGCATGAATCAATTAATATTTAAACCAGTAAGCTAAATGTTGAAGGTCTCAGAATAAAAATACATTGTAGAATTTACCAAAGGCTCTGGGAAGTCAGAGGTAGGTCCGAACTCAGAACAAAGGTGTCTAGCAGATGTATGATAGGGCTTAAAAATGGTTGAAATTAGAATGGAGGAGAAAGGGGAAAATAGAATTTCCAGCAGGGCCAGTAAGAATGCGGGTGAGGGGAATCAACCTTCCAGAACTGGGAACACAACTCAAGTACTGAGAACCTCTTTCTGACCATCCTCATCGGCAGCTTGGAGCAGAACAAGGAGCTCTGACCAGCTGCAGATCAACCTTGCGGAGATGGGGCTGAGCACTCCCAGCACCCTTGTGCCTTAGTAACGCTGTCAAATGACTAAGGCATGGCTTTCCCCAGGGGCTGAACTGCCTCCAGTAGCTTGAGGACAAGGGCAACTCTTCCAAGGAGAAGGGATCTTACAAAATATGTCCAGAACAATCATTGGGTGAAAACCCTCCCTCCTGCTGTGGCTTGGACATGGTCAGTCCCCAAAGGATGTATGTGTTAGAAAGTGTTGGGAAGTGGTGTGGGAGGCCATTGGGCATAAAGGAATTAAGATAGTTCAGAGACCCCTTGAGTTGAGATGGTTGTTTTAAAAAAATCCTGGCTCACCCACCAAGTGCTCTGGTTTCCAGTATCACCACATGATTTCTTCCTCCCACATATTCTCCACTTTGAGCCTTCATCAGTGTCCAGCTGATGCTGACGCCATGCCCTTGAACCACCAGAAAAACGTTAGCTAAGTAAACTTCCTTTCTTTATATAATTACTAAGTAATTATATAAAGTATTATCAGTGATTTCATTATTATAACAAACTAATGCACTGACTGAGTTTTCTAATCTTGGTGAATAAACACAGGCAGAGTTTTAGAACCCCTCACTCTAATATTCTGCCTCTGCCCCTTCTCAGAACAGACTGTTAAGTTACAATTTAATTATTAGTTATTCATACATTCATTAAAATTACCAATTGCTCTGGTTCCACATAGTTCTAACACTCAACATCTGATTTGATATTATTTTCTTTCTTAAAAATTTTAGTTTTTAAAATTATTATTTTATGTGTATGAGTGTATTGCCTGAATGTAAGTGCACCCATCATACAATGCCTAAGGTCAGAAGAGGTCATCCAATTCCCCCAGAACTGGAGTTACAGATGGTTGTTGGCTACCACATGGGTGCTGGGAATTGAACCCCAGTCCTCTTCAGGAGTGGCCAGTGCTCTTAACTGCTGAGCCATCTCTCCAGCCACCTGCTTTGAATTATTTTCTGAGGTAAGCTCTTGCTCTGCTACAATCCTCTTGTCTTCGTGTTGGGATTCATACCACCACGCCCAACAAACAATATAAATCTTTAATTTTTTTGCCAATTTAAATTTAATGCCAATTTAAAAAAAAAAAAAACTCTTTAAACCAAGTCCTCAGAAAGCCTATCTCCATAAGGAAAACTGCTCAGATAATCTAACATAACCTAACACCCAGGCTTTCTGAAGCAATCTGGCTTATCCAGTCCTAGAGCCTTTGTTTTAGAGAAAAAAGTAAAGTATAGAGCAGAGATAAAGAGTTCCTAGGGCTAGGGGCAGAAGC